CCAGCCCCAAGACTTATCCACATTTGTCTTCCAACAGTATACAGAACTCTCCTGGAGAGGAGTGCTAGTGAGTAGAATATTCTCCAATGTATATAGGAGCCTAAGTGCCAGACACTGTGCTAGGCACTGGGGATGTGGCCATGAAGAAAACATACAGCATACCTAGTGCGTCTTAGTCTGTTCATGCTGCTATAACAAAATACCTTAGACTGAGTACTTTATAAGCAATAGAAATTTACTTCTCCCAGTCCTGTAGGCTGGGAAGACCAAGATCAAGGTGCCAGCAGATTCCATGTCTGGTGAGAGCTGCTCTCTCTGCTTCCAAAATGGTGGCTTGGTGCTACATCCTTACAAGGCAGAACTGAAAGGGCAAAAAGGGATGACTAGCTCCCTTGCACCCCTTTTATAAGGTTACTAATCCTACCCATGATGGCTCCACCCTCATGACTTAATCACATGCTAAAGGCCCTGCCTCTTCATATTATCACACTAGCAATTCAGTTTTCACACGTGAATTTTAGGGGGACACATGGCGACCATAGCACAGTGCCTGGTCTCATGAAACTTGCCTTCTTATTTACACCCACAGTGATCATGGAAAGAGACACATAAATGCAGTTCTGGAAAGTGCTATGCAGGAGAAGCTCTAGGGGCCATGAGACTCACTAGGAGACAGGGAGGAGGTAGTATGGGCCATGGAAGGCCTCTGAGCATGTGATACTTTTTTGGGGGGGGACACAGTTTCACTCTGTTGCTCAGGCTGGAGTGCAGTGGCGGGATCTCGGGCTCACTGTAACCTCTGCCACCCCAGTCAAGTGATTCTCCTGCCTCAACCTCACAGGCATCTCGGGACTACAGGCACATACCACCTGGCTATGTTTTTGTATTGTTGGTAGAGACAGGGTTTCGTCATGTTGGCCAGGCTGGTCTTGAACTCCTGGCCTCAAGTGATCCACCCACCTTGGCCTCTTGAAATGCTGGGATTGCAGGCGTGTGCCACCGTGCCCAGCCACATGTGACACTTATGCTAAGAAATGACCAAGAAGCAGAAATGAGCTAAGTGAGCAGCAGGGGGAGGCACATGCTCGGCAGGCAGGACAGCCTGTGCCAGCTGCTCTATGCAGGCCTCAGCTGGAAGCTTCAATCAAGAACTGGGGAGAGACGATGGGGAGAGGAAGACACTAGGAAGCTCCACTGTGGCTTTAAGCTTTTGTTTCCAAAGCCCAACTTTGTCAGTAATAAGGCCCAGATTTTTATTTCTCTATTGCCTTGATTGCCATTTGGATTTCCTAATAGGTCCAGATCCCAACTGGAGAGAGAAGAAGTTGTGTGAGGTTTGGCCTTAAAACCCCTACACGAGGCAGGGGTGAGATCCTGCAGGGTCTTGTAGACCATGTTATGGCTTTGGGGATAAAAGCAACAGGTCAGCAAGGGTCTTTTTTTTTTTTTTAATTGTGGTAAAATAGAGATAATATAAAAGTTGCTGATTTAATCATTTTAACTGTATAGTTCAACGGCATTAAGCACATTCATACTGTTGTGCAACCATCACTACCATCCAGAACCTTTTTCTTTTTTAATTTGAGACAGAGTCTTACTCTGTGGCCCAGGCTGGAGTGCAGTGGTGCGATCTCAGCTCACTGCAACCTCCACTTCCTGGTCAAGCAATCCTCCCACCTCAGCCTCCCAAATAGCTGGGACTACAGGCATATGCCACCATGTCTGGCTACTTTTTGTATTTTTAGTAGAGACAGGATCTCACCATGTTGGCCAGGCTGGTCTCGAAATCCTGACCTCAAGTGATTTGCCCGCCTCAGCCTCCCAAAGTGCTGGGATTACAGGCATGAGCCCCTGCACCCGGCCTCTACTTTCTGTCTCTACAATTTGACTATTCTAGGAATGTCATATGAATGGAATCGTTCAGCATTTGTTTTTTTACGTCTGGCTTATTTCACTTAGCATGAGGTCTTCAAGTTTCACTCATGTTGTAGCATGTGTCAAAATTTCATTCCTCTTTAAGGCTGAGCAATATTCTGTTTTGTGTATATATTTTATTTTGTACAGCCATTAATCTGTCAGTCACCAAAGTGTTTTAAGTAGAGATTTTATTTATTTTATTTTTATTTTTCTGAGGCAGGGTCTTGCTCTTTGCCCAGGGTATAGTGCAGTGACATGATCACAGTTCACTGCAGCCTTGACCTCCTGGGCTCAAGCGATCCTCCCATCTCAGCCTCCCAAGTAGCTGAGGCCACAGGTGCATGCCACCATACCCAGCTAATTATTTATTTGTTTATTGTGGAGACATAGTCTTACTATGTTGCCCAGGCTGCTCTTGAACTCCTGGGCTTAAGAGATCCTCCTGCCTTGGCCTCCCAAAGTGTTGGGATTATAGTTGTGAGCCACCACATTCAACTAGCTAGAGACTTTAAACAAAATCATATGTCCAGTTTAAAAGATCATTTGAGGCCGAGTGAGGTGGCTCACACCTGTAATACCAGCATTTTAGGAGGCTGAGGCAGGCGGATCATTGGAAGTCAGAAGTTTGAGACCAGCCTGGCCAATATGGTGAAACTTCGTCTCTACTAAAAATACAAAAATTAACCGGGCATGGTGGCACATGCCTGTAATCCCAGCTACTCAGGAGACTGAGGCATGAGAATCACTTGAACCCAGGAGGCGGAGATTGCAGTGAACCAAGATTGCACCACGATCCTCCAGCCTGGGCAATAGAATGAGACTCAGTCTCAAAAAACAAAAACACGCTAACTGGCAGGTGGAGACTGGATCAAGAGTGGGCAAGAGGGCAAGAAGAGATGAGTTGCAAAGTTTCAGGCAAAAGATGATAGTGGTCTGGATTAGGCTGTAATGGAGGCGTTGGGAAGAAGTAGATTTAAGAGCAGGTGGGAGATTGCACAGGATCTGGTGTTTGGAAGTTTGGGGTGGGAAGGAGGAATAGCCAAGTAAGAACTCATAGCTCCTCGTAGGCTCAGAGGGGCCTGTAAAACTGAAGATAAGGGTGCCCTCTCTGAGACACCAAGAAACTTTCTGATGATCATTTGGCTTCCCCTGTGGCTTTCTAACAAAGGGAGGACACACCAGTCTTTTGATGTACACACATTCTTGCATAATTGACTGATAAGATTATCTTTGTAAACTCACAGATTGTTACCTGCTTTATGATTGAGTCAGACTCTGTTGCTTGGTTATTTGCAAACCCAAAGGTGAATCTCCTCTTAATGTACCACAAAAAGAGTTTAGACAATGTAAAGTTAAGGCCCAAACTCCCTATTATGGCAATTTCTCCAAGAGAGTCTTTTGGATCTTTCTCATGCCGTCCAGACTTCTCGTGGAGACACCCTTCTGGACCACTGCATTATATGCTGAGTATTCAAGTTCAGACAGGGATAGGGAGGTAGACAGTTGAGCTCAGCTGGACACCGTAGTGGTGTTATGCATCCACAGCTTGATCCTCCAGTTAACTGGCACATCATTCACTATAGTGCCACACACTCTTTCAGGAAAGCAATCTGTCAGTATTTACCAAGAACGCTTTCAATAATTAGTCCTCTTTCTGAGAGTCTATAGCCTAAGAAAATGATTTAAAATGTGACATTCAATGTATCGGTTTTTTTTTTCCTCAGTTCAAGTTTAATACAAACTACAAAAGATCAATGGGTTGATGTCCTCTACTGATACATCATACAAATCAGTGGCCTGCCCACAACACAACTCAGGCCATCCCTACCGAAGGAAGAAAGGCTGGTCTCTCCACCCTCTGAAGGAAAGTCTTGTCTTAAAACACACCACAATTTGGCTGAATCTGAGTCTTGTGTTTTACTCATGGAAAAAAAATACAGATGGGTGTGGTGGCTCACGCCTGTAATCCCAGCACTTTGGGAGGCCAAGGAGGGCAGATCATGAGGTCAGGAGATCGAGACCAGCCTGACTAACATGGTGAAACCCCGTCTCTACTAAAAATACAAAAATTAGCCAGTCATGGTGGAATGTACCTGTAATCCCAGCTACTCAGGAGGCTGAGGCAGGAGAATCGTTTGAATCCGGGAGGTGGAGATTGCAGTGAGCTGAGATTGTGCCACTGCACTGCAGCCTGGGCAACAAAGTGAGACTCTGTCTCAAAAAAAACAACAAAACTCGCAATCCCGAGCAATGGTGCAGTTCGAGTCTGATACCAAAGGAACGTCCATGGGTCCCCATCTTCCTTGTTTCTTAGGTGTGTTGATCCATGCCAGGTGACAGAAGTGAGAGTCCACAGAAGCACCAATCACTTGGCAGTTGAGTTTCTGAAATTCTTCTGCCCTGTCACTGAAAGCAATGATCTCCATGGGGCACGCAAAGGTGAAGTCAAGAGGGCGAAAGGCGAACACAACATGTTTTCCTTTGTAGTCAGACAGGCTGATATCTTTAAACTGACCATTTGGCATAACGGCTGTGGCTTTGAAACTGGGGGCAGGGTGCCCAATTTTACGATTTCCTGAAGATATCTTCCTATCGGCAGTCCTGACACAAGCCTCTGAGAACAAACCACCAACACCAGGCAGGAAGAGGACACCCAATGTAGCATTATTATTATTGTTATTGTATTATTATTATTGAGACGGAGTCCCACTCTGTCGCCCAGGCTGCAGTGCAGTGGTGCGATCTCAGCCCACTGCAACCCCGGCCTCCTGGGTCAAGCAATTCTCCTGCCTCAGCCTCCCGAGTAGCTAGAATTACTGGCACGTGCCACCATGCCCAGCTAATTTTTTTTGTATTTTTAGTAGAGACTGGGTTTCATCATGTTAGCCAGGCTGGTCTTGAACTCCCGACCTCGGGTCATCCACCCGTCTTGGACTCCCAAAGTGCTGGAATTACAGGTGTAAGCCATCGTGACTGGCCCAGTGTAGCATTATTGATAACAGTGAGAAACTGAAAGCAAAACATGTGTCTGATACATCCATAGGCTAGAATATTCTGCAGCCATTAAAAAGTGAACATTCTCGGTTTTGTTTTGCACCAGCCATTCGTAGGTAATCCAGACACGAGATGGCTGTCCTCTCTAAGGAATATGGTTTCGTGCTTCTAACTGGTGCTGCCAGCTTTATCATGGTGGCTCACCTAGCCATCAATGTTTCCAAGGCCCGCAAGAAGTACAAAGTGGAGTATCCTACCATGTACAGCACGGACCATGAAAATGGGCACCTATTCAACTGCATTCAGCGAGCCCACCAGAACACGTTGGAAGTGTATCCTCCCTTCTTATTTTTTCTTGCTGTTGGAGGTGTTTACCACCCGCATATAGCGTCTGGCTTGGGCTTGGCCTGAATTGTTGGACGAGTTCTTTATGCTTATGGCTATTACACGGGAGACCCCAGCAAGCGTAGTCAAGGAGCCCTGGGGTCCATCGACCTCCTGGGTTTGATGGGCACAACCGTGTGTTCTGCTTTCCAGCATCTTGGTTGGGTTAAAAGTGGCTTGGGCAGTGGATCCAAATGCTGCCATTAAAGATTATAGGGTTTTCAAAATTCTCATTCAAATGACTTACCTTTATTTCCAGTTATATATTTTTCCTAAATATAATAAGCTTACCTGGCGTCTGCCTCATACCTAAAAAAAAAAAAAAGTGGACATTCTCAAAAGAGTGGATCTTGTTCTTAAACAGGTGAAACTAATCCCTGTTGATAGAAGCCAGAAGGTTACATGAGGGGAAGAAAGGTAGTTATTGATTGGGAAGGTGAAGGAATCTTCTGGAGCATTGGAAATGTTCTGTATCTTGAGATGTGTGGTGGTTAAGTGGGTAACTACACACATTAACATTGAGTGAACTTTATGTTTTATATGTGTACACTCTTGACAAAAACCTGTTGAATTATTATAGAAAATGCTTAGGATAAAATGTTAAATGAAAAGTCCCGGCTGGGCGCGGTGGCTCACGCCTGTAATCCCAGCACTTTGAGAGACCAAGGCGGGCAGATCACCAGGTCGAAAGATCAAGACCATCCTGCCCAACATAGTGAAATCTCGTCTCTACAAAAATACAAAAATCAGCTGAGTGTAGTGGCGTGCGCCTGTAGTCTCAGCTACTTGGGAGGCTGAGGCAGAAGAATCACTTGAACCTGGGAGGCGGAGGTTGCAGTGAGCCAAGATCGCACCATTGCACTCCAGCCTGGTGACAAAGCGAGACTCTGTCTCAAAAGAAAAGAAAAAAGTCCCAAAGTTACATAACTTTTTTTTTTTTTTTAGAGCTAGGGTTTCACCATGTTGGCTAGGCTGGTCTTGAACTCTTGGCCTCAAGTCATTTGCCCACCTCGGCCTCCCAAAGTGCTGGAATTACAGGCGTGAGCCACTGCACCCAGGCTTTTTTTTTTGAGAGACAGGGTCTCACTCTGTCACCCAGACTAGAGTGCAGTGGCACGATCTCGGCTTACTGCAACCTCTGCCTCCTGGGTTCAAGCCATTCTTCTGTCTCAGCCTCCAAAGTAGCTGGGATTACAGGCGTGTACCACCACACCTGGCTAACTTTCGTAGAGGGGGTTCTGTAGAGAGGGGAGGGGAGTTTTGTCATGTTAGCCAGGTTGGTCTCAAACTCCTGGTCTCAAGTAATCTGCCCACCTCAGCCTCCCAAAGTGCTGGATTACAGGTGTAAGCCACCATGCCCAGGCGAAGTTTTACAACTTTTAAGCGTATGATGGTTACGATGTTATAAAAATGATAAACAGGAAAAAATCTAAGGGAAATAGAGTGAATGATGTCAGTGGTTGTGCTGAGTGGTGTGGTTACAGGAGACTGTTTTTTAAAATTTCTCCGATGAATGTCTTCTTTCCATTCTAGCCATGATTCTGTATGTAACTTCATTTGGAAACAGCAGCTAACACTGATAGAATGCTTATTCTGTGCCAGGCTTCACACTTACAGAAATGTCTGCATTTATCAATTCATTGCATTTTTGCAAAAACCCTATGAAGTTTTATCCCTATTTTACAGACAGAGAAACTGAGGCACAGAGAGGTTAGGGAACCAAGGTTAGGCAGCATTAAGTGGCAGCCCTGTGGCCGGACAAGGTGGTTCATGCCTGTAATCCTAGCACTTTGGGAGGCCAAGGTGGGTGGATCACGAGTTTGAGACCAGCTTAGCCAAGATGGTGAAACCTCATCTTTACTAAAAATACAAAAATTAGCTGGGCGCAGTGGCAGGTGCCTGTAATCCCAGCTACTGAGGAGGCTGAGGCAGGAGAATTGCTTGAACCCGGGAAGTGGAGGTTGCAGTGAGCCGAGATCTCGCCACTGCACTCTAGCCTAGGCGACAGAGCAAGACTCTGTCTCAAAAGAAAAAAAAAGTGGCAGTCGTGGGAGGGAGGTCCAGCAGCAGTCTGGCTCCAGAACCTGCAGGCTTAGCTACTATGCCTCACGGCCACTCAGAAACCAAGGTCAAAGGCCTAACTTTGAGGCCTCCATGACAGAGAGGCTCTGGACAAATGGGCTGCGCTCTGTCCTCTCCCTGTGATTGTTCCAATTTCCTGCGAGACTCCAAATGTCAAGCACCTGAAAGGAGGGAAGGGAGGAGCGAGGGATGGAGAACCAGGGAGCAGAGGAGAAGAGGAGAGCAGAGGCGGAAAGGTCCTGCCTTCTCCAAGCAGAATCTTGCCTTCCCTGGGCAGCAACAGATGATCCCGTTACCTGATTGCTCATTCCAGAAGCCTGGGGATGGCCCCTCTCCCAGCTCGCCCTGCCCCTGCTCCCTAGGGCCATCACAAGGCCTGGGCCAACAGCCCTGGTCCTGCTGTTCATCCACCAGAAATGTGGCTTCCTGGAAGCTCACCCCCTCCCTCTCTGCCCCATCCTAGTCAACTCTGTTTCTGGAAGTTGAAGAAACCTGGCACAGAGCTTCCCTTGCGTACCAGCCAGCCAGAGTGGCATACCTCCCTCCGGCTCTCACTACCCACAAGAGGGGAGATGAGGGTTTGGCGCTGCTGGAAGAGAGGATTTGGATTTCTCACTGCAGCTCACTTGCTGTGTGGCCTGGGGCAAGTTACTTGACCTCTCCCAAGACTCAGTTTTTTCATATATGAAATGGAGATACTAAAAGTACCTGAAGGGCTGGCTGGAGGACTGAATGCAACAATGTGGGTTGACGCATTTGGCACGGAGGCCTGGCACGGTACAGCACTCAAAACAGGGTAGCTATGGTTACTATTACTATCCTGCCACCCTCATTCTCTTCGGGGGCACTGAGGGGTTGGAGAATGGCTGAGAAGGCATGCGAATGCCTTGGCTGCCAGTAGGAAACGTCTTTCTTATCAGCGTAGACGTCAGAGTCTGTCAGACTCGAGTTATTAATACCCAGCCAGCCCACCAGTTTTGCATCTAGCATTCCGAGGTGGAGAGGTGGGGAGGGGAGGGCTGGGGAACAGGTGGCCAGGGCAGGAGAAGGAGCCGCTGGCCTCCCTCGCCATCAGAGCTGTCCTTCCCAGCAGGAAGTACTTGGCACCTTCTCTGCCAGACACCCTCCACCTGCACTCTAAGGTCTGGGAAGGTGTGAAATTCCTGCAGGAAGTCAAACACCAGCCAGGCTGTCGTCTCCTCAGTCCCCTGTGGGCACAGCACTGTCCTTCCAGGGATCCAATGCCCAAGAGAGCAGCACCCCCCAGAAGGAACAAACCCAGGCATGGAACAGTGGACTCTCAAAGCTGGAAGGAGGATTAAAGGACACCCATCTGCCTTAGGGGTTTAGACACAAGGTCTTCACTCAGGCAGAGTGATCCAGAAAATCTACATCGTTCAGCCTCAGTTTCCTCAGCGGTTAACTGGGAGTAATATTAAGTTTGCAGCTGGGCACGGTGGCTCACGCTTATAATCCCAGTACTTTGGGAGGCGGAGGAGGGCAGATTACCCGAGGTCAGGAGTTCAAGACCAGCCTGGCCAACATGGTGAAACCTTGCTTCTACAAAAAAAATACAAAAAATTAGCTGGGCATGGTGGCGGGCACCTGTAATCCCAGCTACTTGGGAGGCTGAGGCAGGAGAATCGCTTGAACCTGGGACAAGGAGGTTGCAGTGAGCTAAGATTATGCCATTGCACTCTAGCCTTGGCAACGAAAGTGAAACTCTGTCTCAAAAAAAAAAAAAAATTAAGTTTGAATCTCAGGACCCTCAACTAACTGTGCCAAAAGGGGAAGTTAAGCTTGGAAACAGAGTCACACACAAACAATTGTCTTTTCTCCTCTTCTTAAATAGATATCTCCCTAGGTGGCCTCCCTCATCCTGGCAGTGTAAATGAGCAGCTTATCCTCTCAGGTATGGGACAAAAAGAGACTAGAAATAGTCCCACTGCCCACCCCAGAGGATGCAGATGTGACTTCTCCCTCTGCTGTACGTTTACTTTATGTAAAGTGTAGATTTACTGAGCACATTGAGCATGAGAGGAATACATAATTTTTCCTTTTCTTTCTTTTTCTTTTTTTTTTTTTT